TAGAGGACTATAATACATAAGGGCCTTTCAAAGACATCGCGACATAATCCTACCGTTTTTTCTTCCTAAGGACGCCCTCACTAGATATTTCGGTGATGTCTTATACTAATTCTCCTTACCTTTTATTTGACTCCCTTCCTTCTCTTCTTTTTCCTCTAAGTCAGGAACTTAAACTGGAGGTAGGTGAGACCATCGATTCCATCCAACTCAACTCTGGTTGGTTGATCGATCGCATTTGCTTTATCACTAGTCGCAGACGTCGCGTCACCTACGGAAGCAGCAGTGGAGGCGGTCTGCGCCAGGTGACACGAATTGCCTGTTGCCAGCGCTACGATGACCCTTCGTACAGCAGCTATGATCAGGGCGAATTGCAGCGCCCGACTCTGGCATTGCATGGTTTCGCTTACAGTCTTGTCAGCACTCTGGGCAAGATTGCCTGGATCGATGTACAGTTTATGTTTTCCGGACTGAACGATGAGGCTGCTCAACTGATTACCCACCCTACCAAAGTTAAGCTAACCATTTGACCGCGGTCGACTTCATCAACACTTCCCCACCTCTACACACTCTTCATTCCCTTGTCTTTTCTACCTGTTCGACCTCTTTAACCATAGTTCTTTCGTCAGATACACCCGAATTCATGCTCGAGCTTTGCGTTATTTCCTGCTAATTTTTACTTTGAATCTATACATATTTAGACAAAATTGTTTAATCTGATTATTTGCCTTCGGCCGAGTTGGGTTTACTGTAGTGCTACAGCCGTCCTCTTTGTGTGTGTGATCAGCACTAGGTCCTTTAGTTCAAATATGCTCTCCGCAGTTGTTGGACTGTTTAATGAGACCTGGTGTAGCGAGCCGAAGACGTTGAGGCTGGAGCACAATGAGTACCGTCGAATTCCATGGATAAATCCGGGCTAAGACAGAGTTTAATAGAGCTGTTAAGCATACCAACATACTTCAGTTGACCCAATTGTGAAAAGTTCGCGGCCTCGATGGGGTTCGAACCCACACAACAGAGAAGGCTATTGCGCAGCTAACGCTCTACCCTTGAGCTACGAGGCTCATTGTGAGCCTAGTAGTCATTCTGGTGGATTCTAGATGGTTGCTTGGGAAATCCTGCCTGGGCAGTCGGCTTCCTGTATCCGTAATGGTGGATTCCATACGAGCAGTAGGTTGGGCGGATAAATCGCTCCAAGTAAACTTAAATTCACGGCTCATGGTAAGCCTCGTAGCTCAATGGTAGAGCGTTGGCTGTGCCAAAGCCTTCTCTGCTGCATGGGTTCGACTCCCGACAAGGGCGCGATTCTTTCAAAATTGGGTCAACTGAATTATGCAAATCTTTCAACTCCCCTAATAATATCAACGTATATCCTGGGGATAAGACTGGATAAGA